GATGTCCATGGGCTCCAGTAACCACTTAACACCAGGTGGGCTGTGAGCTCGTCCACCCATCTAAGCATTAAAAAAAGACTTTTGTACAAAAAAAATGTAATTGTTAATTTAAATAAAAAGAAAAAAAAATGTTATTAAAGAAAAAAAAAACATATTTACGTACGTTTTAACGCATGATTCATGACGATAATAAATTTTTATCAATAAACGAAATAAACATATGACTTCAGTTTATTTTTGAGCGAACGCAGCGTATTTTATTCGGTACGAGGAAGTACATAAATTATAAATGACGACATTTGTTTGTTTATTTGGTAATTTCGCGCAAAGATAGTCTTTACCCGGAATCAACACAAGATACTTTTAATTATAATTATTATACATGTTCTGACCGACAAAGCCGGTTATGTATATAATTATTACAATATTTACGACTTTATTTTGTTACTTTACGTTTGCAACAAAATTTATTGTGCAAGCCAACGAACAAACGAAGAGATTCTTTGTATGTATTTTTATTTTATTTGGGGAAAAAAAGCTCTCGATTTTCTTCCTTTTGTGTCTGTTTAAATGGTATTACCTTCAGCTTTCAATGATAGAAGTGGTCGTTCATTTTGACATCAAGGGGAATTATAGCTGTGGCAACTCTGAGATTAAATAAGGCATCAAAATGTTTTCATTGCCTCTCAATACCACAAGGTTTATTAGGAGAAGATTTTTTAAATACAAACATTGTTGGAATCCATCGTGATTATCCTCTTAAGATCCTGTTTTATAACTAATTACTAATGCAATGACGTACTTTAAATGCAATTAATAATGTTGCGTTATTCATTGTTTGCACCGTGATATAACTTTCAAGGTGGACTTGTTATCGCCAGATGCCCGTGTGATTATAATGAAAATTACTCAATCTTAAACAAACATGTTTGAGCGAATCAATCGCTGGTCGAAGACTTACGCTAACATAATTCTAATTGCTAATTCGAATAAGAAATAATCGAATTAAAAAATTAACAAACAAAATTTTCATCAAATTTTAGGTTACAAAGGTAATGCGATTGATTTATTGTCGATTAGCCGAGCTCACGGTACTCTTGTTTTTAAGTTGTGACCGAGGTCTGTACATTTCTTTTTTACTTAGGTTTGTGGACGAGTTCACAGCCCACCTGGTGTTAAGTGGCTACTGGAGCCCATGGACATCTACAACGTAAATGCGCCACTCACCTTGAGATATAAGTTCTAAGGTCTCACTCAATATAATTACAACGGCTGCCCCGCCCTTCAAGCCGAAACGCATTACTGCTTCACGGCAGAAATAGGCAAGGCGGTGCTACTTACCCATGCGGACTCACAAGAGCTCCTACTACCAGTAGAAACCTGAGTACCGTACCGTAATCGAGACAATATACATATACTATGTGAATAGTATATTATACGATATAGCGGTAGGATAGCTATGTAATTGCACACAATTTAACACTATTGATTTGTCCATATTCCATCTAGTGCTATTTGAAAACGTGATTTCAGTATATCTTGGGTATTTTTTGGCATCGAACGCGGCTGAGTTACTTCCCACACAAGCGGAAGCGTTAAGTCGCTTATGGATCAAATCAAATCAAAAAAATTTTATTCAACATAAATGAAAGTACATACTTGTTGAACGTCAAAAGAACTACCGCCAATTCACAAGAACTAGCCTCCGTCCTGAGAAGAATTGGCAAGAAACTCAGCGGGCATGATTTTTTTTTTTTTTTTTATTATTTTTTAAATATTAGATTTTTTTAAATATTCATTTTTACATGAGTATAATAACATAACAATTATTACAATATTGAAATGTCCGGAGCGAGCAACTCATTCCCACTTTGTGCAATCTTCTATGATCGATGCATACCACTGATGACTGTTTTCAAATCTCGTTTTTAGACCTATCATAGTTCTTGGATAATACTGTGGGCGGAAGCTCATTTCAAAGCCGGATGGTACGCGGCCAAATAAATATGGAATGAGCTCTCTATTAAATAGACAATGAAAATGTTACTAACTATGTACATATTACGTTTCCAGAAATTGTTGATTCAATGTTGACATTATTTGAAAAAGGTTTATTCACGAAATTAGAAGATAAACACGTCATAGATTACGGATCAGTTTACATGGAAACGTGAATCATGGACGCATCAGAGCCTGGCTCACTGGGGATGACGTTTTGATATCACCGAAATTCTGATAGCAAACTTAAGCCAAACACATAAAGTATAAAATTACAGTTTAGTCTGATGATGTCAGATTTTGAATGATTAATAAGACAGACAAATGATTTCCGTTATTTAAAGATAACTGAGTTCATTCTTTTTCCTACGCTGCTCGTTTTCTAGTCTTAAACATAATTGACATTGCTATTACGGCTTATTTTCGAGTCTATTAAATTAATTTAAAAAAAAAAAAGTCTAATCTTAACAGATACTGGTGGATACTTTTTACTGGTGGTAGGACCTCTTGTGAGTCCGCACGGTTAGGTACCACCACCCCGCCTATTTCTGCCGTGAAGCAGTAATGCGTTTCGGTTTAAAGGGTGGGGCAGCCGTTGTAACTATACTGAGACCTTAGAACTTATATCTCAAGGTGTGTGGCGCATTTACGTTGTAGATGTCTATGGGTTCCAGTAACCACTTAACACCAGGTGGGCTGTGAGCTCGTCCACATATCTAGGCATTAAAAAAAAAAATGCAGTACCTAACTCGTTTATTTCCAGTACGATGTACTAAAAGATACCAAAACTGCTCTAGCGAAGATGTTTGACCCTTGTCTAACACCCGTCTATTTATAACTACTAACACCCACACCCATTATTAATATACATTCCATTAGAGGATCCCAGTCCAATCATGTTTTTGCTTTTCTTCGTGCTGTTAAAGCCCTTAATTCTATCTGCTTATAGTGTACTCAACAAAATGTTTTGTCTTATTCGCGATATTGTAGTTTCTGCATATTTATTTTGTTCATTTTTTTCCCCAAGTTAACAGTCAATCTGTCCATATTCAGACCACGCACAATATAGCTGTCGAACTGGATACGAAAATTCGAGTGTCCTCAGTGCAAATTTTTAATGTAGTTTAGTATATAGTACCTTCAGCTCTAACACTAAGAGCAGGCTGAAGGACCCCGGTAACCGTATTCGTCAAACTCGACAAAGAGGTCGACGTGAAACCTAACCCATGAATCAGCTCGCTGAGTTTCTCGCCGGATCTTTTCAGCGGGTCGCGATTCCGATCCGGTAGTAGATTCATTCCCGAAGCAGTTGCTCTTGAGTTGTTAGGTCTCCTTCGGAGGCGCTCGAGCAGCTGTTAGCAAATCCCACCCCTCTTGGCTGAGCCTTTGCTCGCCCACCTGTCCTAGTGAAACTGGAAAGGCCTCCGGGCCACCAGTAATACTTCAATCATAAAAAAAAGCGCTGCGCTGTGGCAATCCATCCCTGTTCTCGCGACTTTCATCCAATACGTTGTCAATCCACCAACTCAAACACTTGATTTACGTCAATTGAATATTTGGAACGCATTATAAATTAATGAATAATTCGAATTTACGTATGCAAATTTTATTTCAATACATATTTGACTTCAGGTTATATTACCCTTAGCTTTTACCCACTACTTCAGTCACATTGATTTAGGAAAAAAAGTAACATTAAACTCACGCAATATAGACTTTTTTCTGGATGAAAATGTATGTATGTTCTTTTCTGTATCCATGAAAACGTGTATGTAAGCTTTCACGAGAATTCATATTTAAAACATTCGTATCGATACTAAAATAATAATGAATTTTATTAAATATTCAGATACGATATTATAAAGTGTTTTCGTGAATTGTTGTTATTTCTAAAGCCGAGAACTGAAGCTAAATGAATATTGGTTACTACAACCAAACCTATTACACATAAAGTCCACATGTCAGATAAAGTGAAGAGGATCCAGATTGTTATACTAGATAACCAATGTTTTCATCACAACATCGATTGTGTAAATAAGATTAAAAATAAATCGAATAGGGTAAACGTTCTTTTCAATGACAACGAATGCAACAAAGAAAATAGTGTTTTATTTTATTGCTCTAGAAATCGAGTGAATGCGCAATGAAACTAGAGTTCAATATATGTTTTCTTAACAATAAGTATTCAAATTTTATTTGTTAGGAGTTCAATGTATCGTTTTTTAAGCTGTTCTTTGTAATCGATACTGCTGGTGGTATACGTTTTGTTATATTATCACCAGCCTGCTTATTTCTGCCGTGAAGCAGTAATGCGTTTCGGTTTGAAGGGTGGAGTAGCCGTTGTATTGTAAAAGTGAGACTTAGAACTCGTGTCCCCAGATGGATGGTGGCATTTATATTGTTTATGTCTATGGGCTTCGGTGGCAAATTTTTTATTTATTGCATACATGGGTGGACAAGCTCACAGCCCACCTGGTGTTAATTGGTTAACGGAGCCCATAGACATCTACAACGTAAATGCCACCATTCACCTTGAGATTGTTCTAAGTTTTCAGTATAGTTACAACGGCCCTTCAGATCGAAACACACTACTTACTGCTTCACGACAGAAAAAGGCACGTTAATGGTACCGTGCGGACTCACAAGAGTTCCTACCACCAGTAATTAACACCAGATCGACCATGACATCTTCCATCCATCTAATTGAATAAAAAGATACTACATTTTAATTTTGAATGTTTTGCGCGATTTCGTAAAAAAATTTTTTATTGCTTAGATGGGTGGACGAGCTCACAGCCCAGCTGGTGTTAAGTGGTTACTGGAGCCCATAGACATCCACAACGTAAATGCGCCACCCACCTTGAGATATAAGTTCTAAGGTCTCAAGTAATTTTACCAGTTCTCTGTGTTTTTAGTTTAAAGTAACATTTTTTTTGTTTACTTTGATTTTTCTATCACTTCGTAGGCCCTGTCGATGGAATTAAAAATATCGGTTGACTTACCTTCAATTTCGACATTCTCTCCACTGGACGAATCTGAACCGTCGTCTTCAATTTTCTTTTCCGTTACTATCGTGACGCTGTTCTCGCCACAATCATTGTTCTGAGATCTCTTCTCCGTCACAGAGTGGAACTGTTAACAAAATGAGTTTTGTTAAAAAATAATTATTATCTTTCACTATTTATAATCACTACAGGATGACCACGACCATTCTGTTAAGAGTGAAATGATTGAGAAGAGCAGAATATACAGCCAAGAAATAGATAATCTAAATTACAATAATAAAGTAAAAATATCAGAAACGGTTTTCACACGGCTTATGTTACGGCAATTTTAGCGTGATGTTTGAAACTTTTGTGAATTAATAAAAATTGGAGGTCAGTTGGATTGGCATGTTTGATGTGCCGACGCGGATAGTGATATCCTACCTACGCCTATGTGTTCTATAGTGCTTATCAATCAGTAATCGTAAAGCCAAGGATTACGAATCATATTGATCACACAGCGTACATACATATTCCCAGTTGTGTCAAGGTGACACGTTGCTACGGCAGTATCTGTAAGCGAAGCAGAACACTTCACTCCATAGCAGTGATGTTATCCGGAATTTAGATTACAGATATTAATACTTTCGCGTATTTTGACGTGGTTTTTTTTTAATAAATAAGCTTCCAGAAATACTTATATATTTTTTTTGTTGCATATTTTTGGTCGTCTTCACGATTTATGTGTTGCGTGATTAGCCTATAGAAATCAATACTATCACACATAAGTGTGAAGGTTTTAATTGCATTGCAAACGATTGCCAATCAAACTTTAACGCATGATCGCTTCGTAGTAGAATGATTGTACCTATACATGGCTCACAATACCAACTGATTATCTGTTCAGCAACAATTTGTCCAAGTATTTTCAATACATATTCTTATAGCTTTTGAAGTTCTCGTGGTTTAAAGGATAAGACGCCCGGTGTACCAGTGTCGAGTTATGTGACAGTGCGTGGGTTCAAATCCCGCAGGAAGGTACCAATTTTTCTAATGAAACACGTACTTAAATTTTGTTTACCCCTTACTTCTACGAGCGAATAATTACTGTAGAATTGAAACATAAACCTCAAGTCACTTTTGTTCCTATCTATGCTGATAGCCTTGAGAGGTTATTTCAGCTTCTCCTTGACGTGTAGGTGAGCTCACGGGGCTTAAACTGGAGTGTTGCTCACACTGAATCTACCACCGGATTGGAAACGCGACCCACTGAGAAGATCCGGCGAGAAACCCGGTGAGCTGATGGCCGCACGCACGCTGATATGTTTGAGCTCAGGTAACCATTTATCATCGGGTGAGACGAGAGCTTCTAGACTCGTCAGCGCCATAAAAAAATAAATAAATAAAGCCGCACGAGAGGTATCATTTACAAAGGCCGATATCGTTCCATGGGAAAGGAAGACGACGGCGTTTGGAAGGATCCGATAACGGAGCACCGGATGAACTCGTGGCTTCCTATGGTTTCATTTTACAGTTTAAAGTTCTCTATGTTATTTTGAAGCCATTTAACTGTTCTATATAGGGTGCTCCAATATTTTGGTCATATAGCAAGAATTCCCTTTGACAACCTGCAGAGACTCATAGTGACAGGTAAAGTGGATGGAAGACGATCCAGAGGTCGGAGCCAAAAAAGATGGAGAGACCGAGTGTCTGAGCATTTGGACATGAGACTGAGTCACGCACTTCACTGTACCACTGACCGACATAAGTGGCTACAAATTACAAAAAAAGGTCACAGGCGGGCGCATCACGAGGCTCAGCAATGAGCGATCGACTAAAGGAGGAGGAGGAGGAACTGTTCTATCGTTTTAAAGTTATCGACTGTCAAACGTTTTACTTAGCTCTGTGTTCCTCTCAGTTCGGTTAGGAAAAGCGATCTGTCTCATCGAGACTAGGTTGATTCTAAGGCACGTATTCATTGTTTAAGAAACAATGCAGACAGGCAATGTTCTCTTGCGCGATTAGGCTGAACCACTCTGTCAGTGTAGGCAATTTTTTTCAAGCGTAGATGGCCACATTAACTGACAGTTCACTTGCCTTTACCGACGTCATCCTCGAGACATTAGTTCAAAGTCTTCATCTTCAAACCGATGTATGTATATTTGAAACAATAATTCAAATCTTCCCGTATTTAAAACCTTTTTTCATTTAATTAATTTCTTTATAAATAAAACATGTAGAAAAACAGAAAGTTTTTTTTTAGATCGAGCTCACGTCCCGTCTCAGTTGTTATCGGAACCCATAGACACAGCCCATAATCCTCCAATTTTATACTTGAGTTTGGTGAAAAATGTATTTTCTAATACCTGGAGGTGAGTGGTCGTCCGTCTGTGTTATTGTCATTATTTGTATACAAACAAGTCTGCTGCCTACAGCTTAGAACTACTTTAAGTCGCATTTGATCCAAACTTAATATACGATATTGTTATAGACAAAAGCTGCACATGGCGATCGTTGAGCCGGCGCTTTTTTTTTATTTTCTCGAGAATATCTCATTTTGTATTATTACTGACAAATGTGATTAAGAATTAGTGAAAGGATCGAATTCAAAAACAGTGGATAGTAGCTACCAGAGGTTATCAAGAAAACTTACGCCATCTTTCCAAAGTGACTACAAAAACAGATACGGAGCTGTGTACCGGTGCGCCGATTGCCATTTCATTTATTTACAACAGCAAAAAAAACCGATATAACAATAGTTTTAGATAAAAAATGTTCTATTTTGCTGCTGAAAATACCGACGACCGATTTATGTAGCTCGATTTATCATAAAAAAAAACTTACGAAACTCGCTCTTGTTGTGTGAACTTAGAATAATGGAAGCATCTACGACAGGTTACTGTTTTTTTTTTGTTATTGAACACTACAATGGTGAGTTCCTCAGGGATAAGCAACATCTTACCTGCATAAGCCGAAAATTATACTTTCCGAATTAAAAGGTTGGCTGTGATTTTGTAATTAATTTACCAGCAGTCGTCATTAATTTACCAGCTAATTTACCAGCAGTCGTCACTTGGCTCGCGATAATTCAGAAAACAGGTCAGGAAGCTCATCGCGCGATATAAGCGACACCCAGCCCAAAATCGTTTGCGCTTCAGGAAAATGAAGTCAATGCACCCTAGCTCAAGATTCAAAATAATAACACATTTTATGTGTATCTGTATACCACTGAATCTCAATGATAAAACGAATCGTATCAGCATCGAAAGTTAATTTATTGCTATTAAATCTCTAATTGAGATTCAAAAGAATCAATAACTTATTTTTCGGAATGAAATTAAACGATATTAAACTTGAGCAATAATAAATCTTATGATCAATAAATATAAAGTCGTATTTTGGTTATACGGACATTGGCCTTCGGGAAATGTGAACGGTTGAATTCAGGAACCATGACCTTAAGTCTCGAGATAACGCAATAATGTTTCGAAAGACTTCTGCTACAAATATTCATAAATTTCCCTTATTCTAATATATAAATGAGTTAATGCATAAATTTTATGGCTAAGTTATATATAAAAATAACCTATTATATACCTATATAGAGCTTAGCTATTTAAATAGTAAATTATTCTGTACTGAATAATAGGGAATGTATTAAAATAATAGGGTTTTTCCACAGATAGTATTGTGTTTTCTGAAAAAGCACAAAGATTAGTACGTACGCCTAGGATGGCATGGATCCTGAAGGCTCTGAATAGCAAATTGGAAAAAATTCGGTCCTTGTGGTATAATGACCAAGATCATTAAGATAAACGAGGCGGTCAAATATCCCCACCATCACCAAAGCTATTATACTCGCACATTTGAAGATGGACTATTACTGGATCATTCCGGTACTGAACGACACTCAGTGAGTCAAGGTCTAGCTCGTGACCTAAACTGTTAGCTCCCTACTATTCTCATCGTGCATATGGTGCAGATTTTGAGGCTGTCCCATTTAATCAAAGGGTCATGTTATAATCTATCAAAAGCGGTAAAAAAAATCGGTAAAAAAGCTACATATATTGGAAACCAATTAAATTTGCTACATGTGGCCGCGTCGGGGAAGTTGTTGATCCGTTCAAGTACACATAAGCTAACGTATTGGCCGAAGACTTTTCAGGCACAGTTTTGAAAGAAAAAATACATATATTCCGGTTTAATAAGCTTGGCCAAATGGAAAAGCTATTTTGAAATTAAAGGCCTTTTTTTGGCTTCGGTACTTGAACGATCTTATAGCCGGGGGACCACCATGGTGTTAAGAGGCTCATAGACATCACAACGTAAATACCATCACCCACATTGAGAAGGGTCTAATTTAGAATAAAATTTCGTATAACAACGGTCTCTACCATCAAACAGAACTTGCTACTTCGCGTCAGAAATAGGTAGAGAGGTGCTTACCTTTGCGTGCTCCCAAAACTTGAGCCATTAAACGCCAGTAAAATTGCGGATTTGAGTTTTACTATGTAAGCGCAAGGCGATGTGTTACATATATGTCTCTCAAAAACGTTATGAAGTTAATGCCAGTCTACTTTGTTGTACGGTATTTTTTCAATTTGGTCTTTATAATCTTGCTGTGTATTATTAGTGTCAGTATCTCGCGGTAAACTATTTAAATTGATTCTCTTGAGTACAAAAGGAGGTCAGATTGAATGTAGCTCACTCAAGTCACGTGTGAAATAAAGCTTAAAAGGTTTTTTTACGAGAATAAATCTATTGTGAAGGCTACACTTTATTATATATTTGTGTAGAGTCAGTTGAGTAGAGGCACTTAAGTAGAGTTAGCATGTTTTATTAAGGTTATGCTGTATTAGCTTTTAATAATGTATAAATAGGTTTTATCAATTATTCAAAATCACAACACAAAAAATGAACCGATGATGGGATATGTTACCGACCCGTAAATGTTGGTGCACCGATTTTTTTATTACAACCACGAAGCAGGTTTGAAGAGCAGTAAGATTAATGGAAGTGAGATTGTTTTATCTATGTTATTGTTCTAAATGAGTGAATGACTCAAGACCCTTCCAGTGAATAGCGGTTGTCGGAACCTTTCGCAGTCTTCTGAAGTTCAGCAGCGGTGTAATAATTGCGGTCTCTTTG